TCATCGGACTCGATTTACCTTGGTTATCATGTTGTATGACCCGATATCTTCTCCGTTCGTCTTGGTGGGCAACGATAACGGAGATATCTCGATTGGATTTCTAGAGATGAAGAGAAAACTGATGAGAGCGGCTATTCTTATGAATATGCATGTGTTTCTTCTTCTCCCAATATCAAGAGATGTGATGTATTTATAAGGCTTCCCATATTTGGGCTTAACTGTAGACCAAGCCCACTTAGCTCAAATATGAATAATACCCTTATTACAATAAAGTATTATTATTTAGAACTTCATTGGAAGTATGTCTGCAATGGTTTATGGAGTGAGAAAATAATAGTAGTGCAATACCTCATTGGAAGAATATCATATTGGGGCTATAAGTACCATCAACTGAATATGTTTGCTAAACATTCTCATCTAGATGTAAAACAGAAACCAAAATAGCTTATTTGTGTACTTCAACCCTTTTTCTACTGGATGAGAGAATTCATAAAGACAAATTAACAGTGCACTGTAAACGAATTTTTGGAATATTAATGAAAATTAATAATCTATTCTTCAGATGAGAAAAAGCAATAAATCTCATAGTCAATTTTGTTACAGACATGAACTTGAAGAAAATGAGAAATAATATCAGAACAGGTTCCCACAAATTACCCTCGCATGTCACACATCTTGAGCTAAACGAGCTTTCTTTCTGTAATCGTCCTTCACACCATTTACTATACTCGACATGCGATCATCCAGAAAACATCTGATGTCGTGAGCCTCATTCAAGATGCATGAGGTTGAATCTTTCCTATATACGCGAATGAGGCGAAGATGAACTTCAATAGCACGCTGGGCACAACAAAAGCTAAATTTAGTAATAGCAAGATAATATTACTTTTGCTTTGAAAACCAATCTAAAAGCTGACCAGGTTATTGGCTTAACATATGCTCATATGTATCACCAAATCAATGCATGGACGAGCTTCAGATGTTCAGATACTAGTAAAAACATAAAACAATCAAACATATTTAATTTTTAATCCAGTATCAACAAATCTCTAGAATTCTCAAGATATGTGTTTATATGGATTAATCACACACAAAAAGAGCTGCGCACGTGTCCAGGGCTAATTCTCAACACTCACTTGCCTTAACAAATTGTTTAATTATGTCCAATCAAACTAAATTAGCAAAAGTAGAATGCTGATCTTCTCACTTTATCATCAAACTCATTTCTCAAACAATGTATTCATGCAAACAGAACCCGAATTGGTAAGTACAAAAGCGTGTTTACCCAGTCCACTAATAATTAGCCTTCTATAACCCATATTCATGCATGCAGAAAAAATTTGAAGTGGAGAACAAGAGGCCCAATACCTCATCCAACTTCTTAGCCCCTTTCAATATACACTTAAGCGCTCGAACAGCAGGGAACAGAACAGTTGAAGGAACATACCTGAAGAGGTAAATAGACAAATCAAGAGATAAAGACAGGACATGAATAAGCAACATTAGGCAACAAACTCGAAAGAAAAAGACAGAATAAAAGTATACATACCGGAATATTGTAGTAATCTTGTCACACAATCCAGCTTCAAACATGATCGTTTCTATTCCACCTCCAAACTGGGAAAGATAAAATAAGGCCCAACATGCTTCCTTCAGGACCAATTCATCATCCTCTGTGAGGATGACAGATGAAAGAATGGGAATTGCAGACTCGAGCTACACCCAACACACAGAATATCCATTTAGAATGGCAGAAATGTCATAATAACAAATCATAAAGAATGTTGATGTGCCGAACATTCAACCTGCTCAGGTGGGATTTCAGGTTTTCCCTCAAGAAAATTTGACAAGGCCCATGTACCAATTCTTAGAAAAGAGAAATCGGTATGCTCTTTTAACAGAGTCAGCAAAGGTTGCAACGCTCCATTGTTCAGAACAACGTCACGGCATCCATGACAATCACCGGCAATATTTCCTAAAGCCCATGCAGCCTGAATGGCAAGCCGACAATAACCGAAAGATAACAAAAATGAGCAATCTAAGCCAAATAACTAAACGGAATAAACACAATAACATAACCACATGGTAACTCAAGAAAAAGCACAATGAAGTAAGAATCAAAATTTACAACCCCTGGTGGTACACCTGCTCATAGAGTTCTGAAGATTGAAGAAGCTTCACAAATACAGGGACAGCCCCAGAGTCGACTACAATCTTGGTGTTTTCAGATGTTCCAGCAGCCATAGTTTTTAGAACACAGGCTGCCTCGCACTGAAGAAGTACAATGGCAATAGGAAAAAACCATATGTCAGAAACAAACCTACATCTTTGCTTCTCCCCAAAGACCCACTCTGCTTGTCTAGGTCTTTGTAAGACTATTCCGTGTTCTGTGATAAATTTATAAAACATTCACCGAAATGAAGCCCATAAAACATATAATACGAAAACCTGAAGCTCGGGATAATCATTCCTCGAAAGGAATTCAACAAGACGATGAACAACTTCATATTCTACAACTTCATCAGTTAAAGGGTTGTCTTCTGTCAATAAAAAAAATAAAAATAAAACATCCCTTTATCTAGTATAACTCATAAAACAAAGTATCTACCACTATCTACTGATAAATAACATGATAGAAGAAGAAGAGAGAGAGAGAGAGAGAGAGAGAGAGAGAGAGAAAGAGAAGTGTGTGATACTATCCACACCAAGAGAAACCAAATTTAGCAAATGAGAAGTAGCCTCTAGCTGCAACTTGCTATTATCAGACCAAACTCCGCAGACAGTGGAATGCACATCCTGCACAAGTATTGTTTCAAAATAAAAATAGAAATCTGTTAAGGCATAATCATGTTTTAGCATGAATTAATAAATGAAACAGAAAGGGGTTATCTTCGTCCTGCAATATTTAAACGTGTTCCTTCATATACTTCAAATTTGGAGGAGTTACGAAAAGTAAAGGACATAAAATCAACTCAGAAGAACAGACATTGAGTGAGGAAGGCGGCACACAACGAATTTCACGGCGCTTTTTCTGGCGAGAGTAGCGTTCTTCTTCTGCCGCCTTTGCCGCCGCCTCCTTCAGCTTCAGTCGCGAGCTCCGTCGTGGATGATGCGGCATGTGTTGAGTTGTTGCAGAGAATTTTGGGGGTTTATGACGATCAATTTTAATATGTGCTCAAAACTGAAAAGCTTGTCATGGAAGCCGAAAAAAAAATGAATCAAGTTTTTGCCCATTTCGAGCCCAATATATAAAATATATAATAGTTTGTGAATGGCTTTTTGCATTAGTCAACTAGATCATGTGTTTTTTTATTAGTTAATTACTATTAAAAACTTACCTACATTTTTTTTTCCAAACAAAACGAGAGATAACTATATTAAACTCAAAAACTTACCTACATTGCTAACCAAATAATTAATTTTTGAAATAGCACTGAAGCAATAGTAACGTATTTTTACATTACAAAAGCTAAAGGCTTGATTGTTTATGAAATAATTTATTCAAAATGAGTTATTTTGGTTAACCATAGTTGATTTGAAAATGGTGGTATGGTTAGTTGTTAGTGGAATTTTAAGAATGTATTAAAATAATATTTAAAATAAATTGATTAAAATTGATTTGATGTAAAAGTAAGAGATAAATTATTGAAAATGATTGGAAATGATAGGTAGTTAAAATTATGTGAGTGGATGAATAGTGAATTAAAGTTGATGTGATGTGTAAGAATGATTGGTTTGTATTATTTAATTATATGAATAATATTAAAGATAGTGGAATTGAGTTAAAGTTGAGTTAAATTTTGAGTTGAAATAAAAGTGTGTAAATTAACTCATAAACAATCAAGCCCTAATCATTTTTATTTCGTTTAGTATATGCTATTCAAATAAACATATATCCCGTGCGATGCACGGAGTGGCTCATATTTTAAACCTTTTTTTAGACTTTATTTTAAATATAATTCTTTATATTTTTCACATTTCATCTATAATATAAATAAAATAAATACAAACAGTGAAAAATATATTATTAAACACTTCTCTTTATGTAATATTTTGTATTTAAGGAATATTATTAAACCTTACATTTTTTTATATTTTAAATAAATTATTCTATATATGATTGTTTATGTACAAAAAATAATGGAAGGAATCCAGACTTTTGTAAAGCTATTTTTTATTCTTTTACAAATAAAATCATCCAAATTTTTTTAATTTCAAAAAAAATTGGCAAGTTTGTTAAAGATATAGATAAAGTTATACAAATGATTAATTAATTAAAATATTATATTAATCATATTTTAAGAAATCTGATTATATAAATGTGGATAAAAAATATTATACAAATTAGTTTGTTAGTAATGTGATTATATGGAAGTTAAGATAAAATGAAATGTAACAAAAATATGTTCGTGATCTTTTCCTTTAAATGTTTGAATTTAAGAATCTAATAACCAAATTTAAATTATATCACATAAGAAAAAATAAATAATAATATATATGCATATATTTAAAAAATTATTTGAATTTCAAATAGAGTAAAAGACGAAATAATTTAAATTTGGGTTAAGATAATAAAAAAAATAGTACGAATATCATTTCCATTATGAATATCTTATGAATAACTGAATGCGGAAAATATGGTTGAATACGAAGTATATAGTTGGAGAGGATTCGTCGCCAATAGTATGAATGAAGGATGAATATTTTTTCGTCGAGATCAAACTCCTCTAAAGGGAGTGTAAACTAGGTGTTTGTTGACATGGTTTTCGTTAAACCAAATAATTAATAATTGTCGGCACCAGGTGCTCAATGATTAGAAGGTTATGCTACCTCAGAGGTTAATAAACTCACAGATTCCGAGTAACTACATGTCGGATAAGAGTGAGCTAAAGAACCGACGTCATCATCAAGAAACCGACATCTCTTGTCGGTTATGGCTTGGCAAACCGATATCTATGACATGTCAAATCGACATCACGAGGCGGTGCCGCTTGACCAGGTGTCACATTACGAGAATAAGTGGCAAACAGCTGCCATTGACTTTTCTCTTAGAATTTACACAATCTCGACAATCTTGTATTGTAATATAAATAGCACAAAGAAGCCCCAGAAAAGGACACATGGAATAACATTCTCAATAATCTTTGCATATAGATTATCCTCTTTTTAATAAACAAATTATCTTAACTACTGAGGTAATCCATACGAATAAATCGTTGTTAATTCACATATAACAACAGTTTGGCGCTAGGAATGACCTCATAAGTGTTTGAGGTTACTCTTTGCTTACATAGTCACTGCTTGCGTAAATTTACGAAGAAAGACATTTTTACGTTAACCAAGATGTCACAATCTGGTCGAGATCATGCTTCTCATGCTGGACATAGCCACACCACAAATCATTCTGCGAGACGTACGACACAATCGCCTCCAACTACCAATATCATGAACTTTCTCCAAGATCCAGAGATTATTCAAGGATTGTCATCTCTCATAGCTCAAGCTGTACCCAGAACCTCGAGCGCAATTCCATTACAGACACCTTTTCCTACAAATCTAACGGAACGACCAAACCCTGTTCTTCAGAACCAAGTAACACATGCGGCGGCGTCACATGCCACTTCACAACCATGCCATACTTCTCAGCACCGTGAAGAGCCTATGCGTTCAACGGTAAATCTAATACCAGATAATCTGAACACTCGTGGGCCTCATGATCAGAAAATGACTGTTGAAAGTCATTCTGTTCATCATCATAGAGCTCCTTTGCTTCACAGGCCTCCCTCACCTTTACCTCGAGATCGTGAAGATTTACGTCGTCAGATTGAACGAAATCGTATGTCGCGACATGCTTCCGAGGAAATAGAGGTTCTTGGCAAGAGGTTAGTCGAATTGGAGACTCGGCAGAAATCACAGGAAGAGTCCCCCCGACATGTCCCGACTTCGGGTAACGTCATCGTTGAAGCTGACTCGCCCTTGGCACCCGAACTCACTGCAGAGGCACTCCCCGCCAAGATAAAAATCCCACAAATCGGCATGTATGATGGAACTTCAGATCCTGATGCACATTTGGGACATTATACATCTTGGATAGATTTGCATGGTGCGTCTGACGCCTTACGATGTCGGATGTTCTCACTCACACTGGGGCTGCGGGCGCAAAAATGGTACTATACTTTGCCGCCTCATTCAATATGGAAGTGGCAGCAGCTACGTGTAGCTTTCTGATCACATTTTATCGGGGCCCAAGTTTGTCTCATCCCGAAGGAATCAATCACCAATATCGTACAGAAAGACAATGAAACAGTCAAAGACTACATATCTCGGTTCAATGAGCGGATTCAGAATATGGAACCTTGCCATCCCGAAACTCTGCTGGTAACCGGGATCGCTGGATTAAAGCCAAATTCTATGTTTCGATGGACTCTCTGCCAAAATAAGCCGGCTACTTTTCAAGAATTTCTCGTGCGCTCTCAACAATACATTATAGCTGAGGAGTCGATGTCGGTCCCCAGCTTCGACTATTCGGCTAAGGAAGATAAGTCAGAACCGGAGGTGAAGAAAAAGAATAAGAAGAACTTCAATAAAACTCAATACCGAGGTTATTCGAAAGGCTATGAAGACACTCCGGAATCCAGGGCCGCTCGAGATCAATATGCCGACAACGTAAGAACAGGTTATCAGACCGTTTATTCAGCAGAGACAACCACTATTTTTGAGGAATTAAAAGGAAAGGAATTATCCCTGACCCAAAACCTGTGAGAACTCCGGAAGACAAGCTTGACAAAACTCGTTATTATGCCTATCATAAGTCCCCGGGACATAATACCGACGAGTGTCTTGGCCTCTTGTCGGCTCTCATGCGCCTAATTGGACAACCCCAACTTCAAAAATTCAGAAATTTTGATACTCGTCGCAAAGGAAGGCCCGCAGATATCTCAGATGAGGAGGACGATGATGACCGAGGTGCCAATCCAAAAAGAAACCGCGTGGCCGACAAGGATGTTTTTACTTTTTCGAATCTTGTCGGAATTTCGGCTGTTGAAAGCAAAAAACCCAGAACTCATGATGCACCAACTTCTCCTCATTATATACCTCGAATAAATTCCAACACTAAACAGCTAGACACGTCTCGGCGAAAAGCCAAAGCCTACGCCCGAGAAGCACAGAATGTCGGGAAGCAAGTCATGAATGTTGATCTTCGAGATACCATTAACAAGCGGAATTGTCCTATCACTTTTAATATTGAAGATGCTAACTTGTTTGCTCATCCACACTCCGATGCTCTCATCATCACTGCTCCGATTGGGGGAATTCTTTTCCACCGAATTATAGTCGATACTGGAGCTTACTCAAGCATTTTGATGTTTCGTACTTTCAAGAAAATGGGTTTAGATCCCGCTGATATCCGACCGTGCAAAGATCAAATCCAAGGTTTTAACAGAAGTATTTTTTGTCTCCTTGGTGAAATCCTACTTCCTATTCGGTTCGGCGGTTTTGGACCGAAGTCCAAGATTATTATGGAGACCTTTAAGGTCATGGATATCCGAAATGAGTACAATGCTGTTGTAGGACGCACTGTTCTTTATAAACTCCAAGCTGCTGTTTTGATATTTCATTATGCACTAAAATTCCCCACCATCGAAGGGGAAGGTACTCACTATGGAGATCAACAAGAAGCGCGAAGCATGACCTTGACTCCAGGTTCACGCAATGTCCACACATATGAGACATAAAAAATTCTTGATTTTGCTCAAAAGGACTTGGTAAACTCTGTATCCCCCGAGCCTGATGTAACAGATTCATTTACTCTGAATACTGACATCTCTTCCATATCTGATACCGAGATCCCTATGACTTCGGAGTTGTCAAATATGTCGGATGAAGGTCAAGACCGAGAACAGCAGCCTAGAGAAAAGATTATCCAGTTGCAAGACGACATAGACCCTAGGTTGCAATTCAAAGAAAAGAGTCAACATATTCGGGCAGAACCTGTTGAAGATGTTGAGATTATTTACGTATACGAATCGGCTCAAGACAAACCGCTGCGTATCGGAGCCAATCTCCAGGAACCACTACGTTCCCAACTAATACAATTCCTTCAATCGAACTCCGACG